ATGTGTCCCCAGCAGCAGGACTGGCAGAGACCCAGGCCCAGGCCACAGAGCAAGGGGCCGGGACTTATGCCCTGCCCAGTGTCCTCAGCCAGGCAGCAGGACAGGCACTGGGGGAGCCCAGGGAAGGTCGCCCCTCTCCCGGAAAGGATGATGTCTCCCCGACTAAGTCAGACCTTCTGCAGATCCCCAGCCACGCCCTGCTAGGCCGCCCTCCCTCGCACCCACCCCAAAATACTAGGAGCCAGGCCAGTCTGCCCCAGCTGGAGACGGAGCTGCGGCCTTCACCCCAGGACAAAAGGCACTCACAGTCCAAGCGGATACAGCCTCTGCATAACAGGATATGAGGGGAACAGGCGGCTCTATTCTGTGAGTCGCCGCCGCCCCGGCCCAGAGCTCCCCAAAGTAAGCCCCAGCCCAGAGCTTCCCTTCCCACCCCCAAGCCCAGGAATGAGCCACAGCCAGCCTGCCCACGGGGTTCTGGCAAGGGAAAGTAGACACAGCCACTGTCCCATCCTGAGCCTCGCAGGGCCCCACTTGGAAGAGAGGTCTGCTTGGCCCAGCCTCACCCCGGCACTGGCCCCTGCCCTACGCACCCTGCCCTGCCCCTGCTCCCAGACTCCCAGGGCCCGCACTGGCTGGGGCCACTGGCTCTTCTGGGGTCTGGTCTCCCCAGATACCAGGCATCCCTGAGGCAAGGACAGAGTTTCATAGGCATAGCCGTTTTGTTTTCTGAACCAAAGGGCGTGACTCATAGTCTATAGGACCATTTTTTAAAAAAAACCCTAGGTACCTAAGCACGCTGCTCTTAATCTCTGTGTCTCCCCTCGCCGGCACCGTCTGGCCCAATGGCTTGCTTGAGGTGCATGTTCTAGAAATACTCCACCTCCTTCCAGCCCTGCGGCCAGGTATCCACAGCCCCTGACCACCCTTCTAAAATATTCCCCTCACGTAGGGAGGATGTGACCCTGAGGGACGCGGCCCTAACAGAGGAAGGAAGCGGGGACTGAGACAGAGGAGCATCTCTGACCAGGACCCCTGCCTTCTGTCCCTGCCTCGCCCAGCTGACCACTCTGGTCTGAAGAAGAGAATGGAGCTGGAGCTATGGGAAACCACAACCTTGCCCCATGCTCTTTGCTTATTAAGTGTGTGATTGGGGGCGCCTGGGGGGCTCCGTCAGCTAAGTGTCTGCCTTCGGCTCAGGTCATGATCCCAGGGTCCTGGGAGCAAGTCCCCCACTGGGCTCTCTGCTCAGTGGGGAGCCGGCTTCTCCCTCTCCCTCTGCCCCTCCCCCTGCTTGTGTGCCCCTGCCCTCTCTAACAAATAAATAAAATAGTTTTTAAAAAAAAACAAAAAAAGGTGTGTGACTGTGAGGTCTAATGTAAGACTTTCAGGCTAACACCCTGACACTCACAAATGAGGAGGGAGAAAAGTTTCGATCCACACAGTGCTGCCCACTGCCCTTGAGTTGGGAGTGGCCCAGGCCCACGGCCAGCGTTCCTGGGGTCCCACAAGCTGTATCCACCACACCAAGGACTGTGCCAAGCCTACTCCCAGCTAAGCTTTGGGAGTAGAAAGACAGCTCAGAGAACCCCAAACCCTAACCATTCCGGACTTTGCTCCCTAAGTGAGGAGCCCTGTGGGAACTAGTCAGGGAGAGGGAAGAGATGGAAATCAGGTGTAGGGGCGCTGCGCCTCTGCCCTCTCCCCCTGGCCCACCCACCCTCCTCCCCACTTTCTTAGGGTCTTGTTTCTCTGACTCCTCCTGCCCTCGATACCATGTCCCAGCCCCTACCTGGCCTCTGGCAGCCCCGCAGGCCAGACAGAGCTGAGCACCCGGGACAGTCAGCCGCTGGCCTCAACAGCCCTGGGTTTCGGTCCCCAGTGGGCCACCCCCATCTTCTAGTCAAATGGGAAGGCTGGAGATAACCATCTGGGTAAGTGCTTCTCCGAAGCTTTTTCTGAAGGAAGGAGATCAGAGTGGGATAGTGGGGGCGGGGGTGGGGGGGGCCTTACTCCCTCCCTCCCTCCCTCCCTCCCTCCCCTGGGGGCCAGGAGTCAGGCTCTGCCACCCACCCACGCACAGGTACCTACTCCTCCCACCTGCCCCCTTCAGCCACCAGCCAAGGCGGAATGAGGCTGGATGGTTAGGCTGTTCCATCAGGCCGTCCTAGGAAGCCTTGGCAGGGCAGGGTGGGGGGTGGGAGGGTGGACATGTACATTAGAGCCTTCCCAGAAATCAGGAACGAGAGGACCACTTGTCCTCCAAAGGGCCCTCACACCCAGAGCCCACAGCCCTCCACCGATGTTCTCCTCGGCCCGTCCTTGTTTGATTCATCCTTGAGCAACCGAAAGGCCCCACCCTCACGCCTGCTCACCTCTACCCAGCCTCTGACTTCTCCCAAAGCCTGTGGGCGCTCTGACCCTTGACCCTAGGTCTTGGCCACAGCAGCCCTGCCTCCCACCCCCAAGTTCTAGGTCTCAGCCCTCCAAGTGCCTCCTAGCCACCCCCAGGCCCCTTCAGTCCACCACACACAATCCACCCTCTTTTCCCACCACACAAGCTCTTCTTAAGTCTCAAAGGGTCTCTAGGTACTGGGAGATGTCCCTGAACTTCCATGCCTCCTGACCACTGTCCCTCTCTAGAGCTTGGCCCATTCTCAAGCCTGAATTTGGCCTTTCCTGTGTCCCTTCCATACACCTCAAATTCGTTCACTCATCTCTCATTTATTTTCTTCTTCATCTGTCAACTCATTCATTCACTCACTCATTTCCTTCTTCATTCATTCATCTGCCCCAAGGGCCTTCAGCACACAGGGAAGGTGTGATCCGAAAGGGCTGGTGACTTGTCCCTCTATTTACAAGGCTGTTTCCAATGTAGACCTCAACGTCAACATCCCCGTTCCATGCTCCTCTTCTCACTCCTTTCCAGCTTCCGGAGGCCAATGTCTGGCACAAGTGCCCCTGCCTCCCCGTCTCCACCCGCACAGGACCCTGCACCTGAGTCACACAGCCACACACAGAGGCCCCATCACCAGTCATCCAGGTCTCAGAAGAAGCCTGTTCCTCTGGAGCATTTTCCAGATGAGTGGGGCTGGACTACGGCATGGACACTCACGCCCTCCACCCCTGGTCTCTCCACAGACAGAGGACAGAGGAAGGCTGAGCCACTGCCCCCCCACCCCCCCACCCCACCTCGTCTCCGAACACCCCTGCCCTCACCCCCAGCTGCCCAGCGGGGCCCCAACCCTTCAGAGGGCCAGTCGGCTGGACCTGCCTGGGTCCTGAGGTGGAAACAAGCCACCTCAGTGCCTGCCTCCTCTCCCGGGCTCGCTGGCTCTCGCTGGGCCCTTCCTGGTGCCTCCTGGACCCCATCACCTCTCCCAGGACACAGCTCCCAGGGCCTGGAGAGGCCTGTGTCCAGGTCGGACCACCTCCCAACCCCCACCAACCCGCATTTGTCCTTTTTCGGTTGAGGGAGGGTCGGAGCCGCTGTGACAAAGCTCTCTGCCTTGAGGCCGGGGCCCTGGAGAAGAGCCCCGTCAGCCTCCGGGTTGGGGAGGGGGTCTCCCCACCCCATCCACTCCTCTGAAGGCCTCTCCGGCCCCCAGCCCCACCAGAAGTCTCCATTCCCAGACCAGCCTGTGGGAAAATTAACGATTAACCGAATCTTCCAACCAGTGCCTGGCAGGGCGCCCTCCCCAGGCTCCCTTCACTGCCCCTTCCCCTGGCCCCAAACGTTTGCCCGGCCTCTCCAGCAGCCCCAGGCCTCCCAGGACGGGCTGGGGGTGCTCACCTGCCTCCTCGGACTGCCTCCTCTCCCACAGGGCTCTGGGGCCTGGGCTCTGGCACTGCCAAGCGGCTCTCCCCCCGCTCAGCCGGCCAGGACTCCTCCCCGCCTCGCTCCCAGAATCTGTCCCACTCCCTCCAGCCGAGCCTGGCTGAGCTGGCTCGGTGGGGAGGTAGTCACTGAGCTCCCTCTTGACTTAGCCCTGGGGTTGGGCCCTTGTTAAAGGGATACACACCTTTTTTAGCACCCCCCCCACCCCACCCCAAAGGGAGCGGTGGAAGCCGGCACCCCGCACAACCGCACCCTCCCCACCCTGCAGCGCTGGAACGGAAAGAATCTAGTCGGTGGAGGAAGGAAGGGAAGGGCCATCACCTGCCCAGATCACAGGGGTCACTGGGAGCCCAGTTTCAGGGTCCCCCAACAGACAAGTTCAGGCTGCGTTCCAGGCCAGTCTGGCCGGCCCCAGAAACTTCCTTGCTGTTAGGGTTTCAGGAGCAATGCCTGATTTCTGTGGCCCCAGTCAGAAGCGGCAGTGGAGCCTGGGCCCTGGCCTTCCGACTCCAGTTGCGACCTCCAGGAGCTGACACTGATTCCCAGGACCTGCCATGGGCAGCAGGAGATTCTCCTGGGAACACCCCGTCACCACCCCTTCCCAGGACATGCGAGGGAACTGGCCAGGAGAGACCTCAGCTCTGGGCACCTGCTCTACGTCAGGCTCTCTGCTGAAGACTTTATGTGATGTGTCCATTATCCTCCCAACAAATTTGTGAGCCACAAGCAGACCCCATTTTATAGACGAGGAAACTGTGCTCTAGGAGCATGCCCCAGGCTCCAACGATAATGGACGGCAGAGCTGGGGAAGTTCAGGCTGCTTGGCCTGTTTCTCAGCCCCGCCTTTCTCTTGCTGCCTGTCAGCCAGGCTCCAGCACACCTGGGTTCCTAACCGCTTCCCGGGTGAACATTTGTGGCCTCCTCTCCTGTCAGGGGACCAGCCCCTTGGCAAAGAGAAGCCTATCCTTCAGAGACAACCTAGTCCCCGGCTTTGGGGCCTGGTACCCATCCTCAAGCCAAATCCATGGGAAAAGCAAGTCCCACTCACTCCCACTGCAACCACCACAGCCCCACGCGTCCCACTGCCACCCAGGACTCTGCCACTCACCCCAAACCGCCTACAGTCCCAGGTGGGGGGTGGGTGTCCAGTCAAGACAACATCTTTCACTTTTTTTCCATTTTTTTATTAATCAAATGATACAAAACAACCATCATTCTTTAAATGCCCAAGCACCCAATTGGTCCTCTCCCTCCCCTGCTCTCTTCCCTGACCCTCGCCCAAGGAAAGAGGCCAGGGAGGAGGCTGGGCCAGAGCTGGAGGGGGGAAGGTGGAGCCCTGGACACACTACCATTTGGGGTGGGGATTAGGAAGGGTAGGTTCCCAGAGACCATTTTTAGCACCAAATATCCTGCCCCATTCCCAGCCCCCCTTCTTCAAATCATTTCCAATAGCCCACCTCCTCTCTGCCCTTCCCCCCAACCAAAGTACCTGGCCCTTACACCATCCTTATCCCTCCAGCACTCACCACATCCATCCCTGCCCCCCCACCCCCAGCCTCCCTCTGGTGGGGACTCCCGGGCTGGCAATGTTGGAGAGCCCTGGGAAGGGTCACCAAGGACTCGAGCCCTGCAGGGGTGAAGCAGGTGCAGACCGGGGAATCACATACTGGTGGTAGGAGGAATTTTATTTCTAGGCCCCAACATCCCCCCCCAAGAATTCCAGGGAAAGGTTCTCAGCTGCCCCGGACAGGACTTTCCAGCTTCACACTCCTGGCTGCTTCTCCAATCAGCTCCCAGAAACTCCCAAACTCTAGTTTAGAGTCGTTACAGCTGCCCAAGTTGGCGATTTTCTCTTCCAGCCCACAGTTGCTCTAAGGGGAGGGAAGAGACCACAGCTCAGCAAAGCAAAACCTCCCTCTCCTAGCCTCGCCCTGCCCTGGGGCGGGAAGCCAAACCCGGGCCTACCTGGCACAGGCAAGGGGAGGGGCTAGGGGTGGCAAGTGCCTGGGGCCGTGGCAGTGTGGGTGGGGTCGTGAGGACCTTGCTGGGGAAGTCGGGGTGCCTGGGGCGGGGCCCAGTCAGTACCGGCATGAGGTGGGGCAGCTGCTGGGTGACCAGGTCCTGAAGTTCAGAGGGGGTCAGCGTCTCCTTCCCACCCTCCACAGAGTACTGGTGGAAGTTCTTGATGAGGGTCTCGATGGCCCTCTCCACGTCGCTGAATTCCTGCGCATCCTGAGGGTGGGGGACATCACCACGTCAGGGAAGCTCCACCCACCCCAACAACACCCTACCTCCCCAAGCCCCCCTAGACCAGCGGGGCAGAAGGCAGCTGGAAGGCACAGGAGCTGCCCCCACTCCAGAGCCCAGCATCTAGCCCCCACCCCCTCTGGCCTCCGCCCTGAGCCCAGCAGGGCTCCCTCCCTGTCACCAGAGGCCCCCACGCAGGATGGGTCCTAGCGAGAGGCACAGACATCTCTTCCCAGGAGGGCTTCTTGTGTGGATGCAGCACTGCACGTGCTGGACACCACTTAAGAGTCTGGCTCTTCTGGGCAAGGTCTAGGATAAAAGGCGGGGCCAAGGCAAGGGGCAGAAGTCAGTGGGGACGCAGACCCTCAGGGTGGAAGATGGAGGACGGGAACAGAAAGGCCAAGCACGCACGGGCCCACCTCAGCACTGGCTGACCGACACTGTCCCATGGTGCCCAGTATGCTTGTCCTGGCAAGAGCTGTGTCGTCCTATGGCTGGCGCCGGGGAAGCCGATGGCTCATGATCTGCCTGGAGAAGGAGGGAGACAGAGGGGAGGCGGGGGAGGGCTCAGTATTTCTTCCTCGACTATCCCCTTGGGCCTCACTCAGGAGGTCAGAGCCAACTCCACGCAAGACCCAGTCCCTGCGCAGGATCCAGGCAGGAGCTAAGGTCACAGTCCCCAGGCCCACCCATTTAGAGGGAATCCTCTGGGCCTCCCCCTCCACCAATCCTCCCACTTCTTCCCACCCCTCACCTCTGCTTTGCACACACACACACACACACACACACACACACACACACCCGGCCTGTAGGACCTGACTCCCAGCCCTTGTCCTGGCAGGCTAGGGTAGGAGAGCCCAGCATTGCCCTTTGGACAGGGTTAGGGCAGCCCGTCTACGCGAAAAGCCCTGGCACCCTTACCTGCTGGGAGCCGTTGGGACAGACGCTAGGAGTCCGTGCACATGAGCTCAGCTCTTATACCTGGGGGCAGGGCGGGACGCGGGGGCGGGGCCTCCTCCCCGAGCCGCCCCCGCTGTTCCCGCAGTTCCCGCGGGCTGGGCGGGGAGCCAGTGTGGCCCCACCCCACACTGGCCAGAGCCCCGCCCACCCTGCGACCAAGGGAACTCTGGGGGGCTGGGCCTGGAAGGCCCCTGGCCCCAGACCCGCAGGCAGAGTAAAGGCCAGAGAAAGGGAAGGGAAGAGTGGGGGCTTGGCAACACTGCGGCCTCAAGCCCGGGAGGAAAGTCCTGAGGAATTGTAGGGCAGGGAAGTGGAGGGGCTTTGGGTCAATAAACAGGAAAGAAGGAGACTCAGAGGCTGATGGAGGCAGGGCTGGTGGTCCAGAGGGAATGAGGGACAGGGGAGTTGAGAGTCCCCAGGGACCACTCTGTACTTTGCCATGTCACACACATGCCCTCTTACTCTTCCCACCAGGGCCAGTTTGGGTGGTGTCACTCATACCTGCAGTCCCCACAGCTGAGAGGTGGGGAAGGAGCCACAGAAGGGTGGCCTGGGAGAGGAGCCCGGATGGAGTGTTGTCCTGACCCCGACTCAGCTCCCCTCACCCAGCCCACCTGTATGAGACCCAGATGGGCTACCTGGCAGTTAGCAACCTCTCCAGACAGGTGGGGCTGCCTACTGCTCCCTCCCTCAGAACCCCAGGCCTTCCCAAACTGCCCCCCAATCCAGTGCCCAGGATGACACCCAGGAAGCCTGGAATGACCCCTCCTCCTCCCCCCTCCCCCCCCACCTCCTCACCTGATGGGGAGGGGGAAGAGAGAAGGGCAGGTGATTCAGTGTGGGTCCAGGCAAGGATGGGGCGGGTACCAAAGCCTGAACTCTGAAGGCAGGAGCCTGTCTCCCAAGCCCCTCCCAGCCCCTTTCTCCTTCTAGGGCTCCCCTGTACTTCTAGAAGTGTCTCCATGAGAAGCCCCCCCGCAAGAGTGTCCTATCATCCTGTGTTCTTCTGATGGTCTCAATCTGGGACCCTCTGAGGGGTCAATTTGAGAGTTTCTCCCAAGAATGCCTCAAACTTGGATCCCTGGGAGAAGCCTCAGTCTGGGGGACCCTCCTGAGATCTCTCGCTGTGGGGAAGCCCCCTGTGAGATCCCCTCAGGAATATCTTCAGCCAAATGAACCCTCAAAGAGTCCCAGCCTGGGGTCCTTCCAGGGCCCCTCAGTCTGAGGGCACTTAGATGGAAGGTCTCAATCTAGGACCCTTTCTGATGTGTTTGGTGTGTGGAAGAGAGGTTATCTCAGCCTAAATGTTCCTCTGGAGTCATGGACACGAGACGCCGGCAGTGACAGCCGCTGGAAGGCTTTACCCACCGGGCTGCCCTGCTTTGGCTCGCTCCACTGGCGGGCAACGCAAACCATACGCCCCTCAAGCCAAGGCTGATGGGGAGAGGGGCACCATCGCCCATGCCAGTCTTCATACCAGAACCTTGTGTCCGTTCTTCCACCTCTCCCCTGCTATGCAGGGAGGGAGGAGGGAGGGCCTAGTGTTCCCAAGTTTCCCACCCAGAGAGGATCCGTTCATCACAGAGGCTATGGAACATCAACCCAGTTCCACCTATTCTTGTCTTTGTGCGCTCAGCCTCTCTGAAACGGGTCTTCTCATCTCTAACACAGGACTTACAAATAGTGCCTCCCTGGAGCGAAGTGGGGCCTAGACAGGGACAAGCCTGAGGATGGCACCTGTGGTGGTGAGCCCTGGGTGGTGTGTGGAAGTGAGGGACCACTGAGGTCTGCTCCTGAGATCATGACCACACTGTATGTTAACTAACTAGAATTGAAATAAAAATGTGAAAAAAAAAAAATAGTAGTACCTCCAAGGGCTGTGAGAATTAACTGTGAGAATCAACACTTCCCTGTTCAGTTTAGTGCCTGGAGGACAGCAAGCCCAGCACAGCTCCAGGCTCTCATTAACACCCAAGGATCAAAGCCCAGGAATAAGAACAGTGGGACTGAGACCATGCCCCAGGAGGCACCCAGAAGGACAGGACTCACCACACCCACCCCAGAGATTGTCCCCTTCCTTCCATATGCTCATTCATCCACCGTTTCCTTACTGAGCACCTACCCCTTGCAAGACCTGGTGTGAGCCGCTGCAGAATTCAGAGACAACTAACATTCTTGGTCCTTAAAGAGCTCATAACCTTTCTTTAAGATTTTATTTATTCATTTGAGGGAGAGCATAAGCAGGGGGAGCAGTGGAGGGAAAGAGAAGCAGACTTTCTGCTGAGCAGGGAGCCTGATGGAGGGCTCGATCCCAGGACCCTGAGATCATGACCTGAGCCGAAGGCAGCTGCTTCACCAACTGAGCCACCCAGGAGCCCCAAAAGGTCATAACTTTTGGACCCACTCTTGGGTCAAGACAGAACTTTCCCACTGTCTACTTCCAAGAGCAGAAAGAGGAGAGGGTGTTTCAAGGAAGAGGCTTTTCGGTGCGAGGGGGCTCTGCCCTGCCGGCCCTGCCAAGCACTATCCTGCTCAGGAGCTTTACTTCTTCTGCGTCTCCAGGGCCCTCTCCCTCCGGATCTCCTTGGCCAGCTCCCCTATCAGTCTCCAGTACTCGTGGAACTTGAGCTCAGAGTCCTGATTCACATCCAAGCTCTTCATCTTCTCATCTAAGGAGCCCACATCCTGAGGAGACACAAAGGAAAGGCTGGGGTTAGAAGTGAGGGTTCTCGAGACAGGGAGAGAGGAAAGAGCTGCCAACCTCTGTTCTCATCACACAGGAGCTGCCCCACTGTGGCCCGGGGACAGCAGGGCCATGGTGTCTGGTCTTCACAGCCTCTCCACACCCGTCGGGCTCCAAGGATGGCGGCCGCCAAAGGAGGTAGGGGACCTGGCTTGTAGTGTTGGCCACCGTGTAAAGAGTCCCACCACGGCTGATTGTGAGGCATACACGAGGCGTCCCCGAACGCAGAGCTGGGAAGAGAAGCCCACAGGTGAGGCGGACCCAGCACACCATCGCACCTGCCATTTGCTCAAGGGCGCCCGGCGAGCCCTGGGGCAGGGACCCACTCTGGCCATCCTCAGAGCCTTCTCAGAACTTCCTCCTTCCCAGAAAGCTAGAGAAGTTCACAGCCCTAAGGTGCTCATCTGCATAAGCCCAACATAATCTCATTTCTTTTTCTGGTTTGTTCATTAGCCTGTTTGATCAGAGGAATGGCAAAGACGTGGAGTATCTGGTTTTGTCCTTGACAAAGTCTGTCAGGACAGGCCTGTGAAATCAAAGGATACTGTATACTGGACCCAGGATCAAAGGATCTGTTACTAGATAAACAATCACAACCAAGACACAGTCTGTGGAACAACAAATCGGCGTCACACTGAAGAAGGTGCCGCAGGCAGAGCCCAAAGCTCAGTATTTCGATCAGCATTTGCTCGAAGGCAGAGAAGACCGCCAGATCCACAGAGGGCCCAAAACTAAAGCTAATTCAGAGAAAAGCTAAGCAAGACCTTTGTAAAAGCCACAATCACGCTTTTTTTCTTTAAAGATTTTATTTATTTATTTGGCAGAGAGAGAGAGATCATGAGTAGGCAGAGAGGCAGGCAGAGAGGGTGGGGGAAGGAGGCTCCCCGCTGAGCAGAGAGCCTCCTTCCCCCACCCTCTCTGATGCGGGGCGACCCCAGGATCATGACCTGAGCCGAAAGCAGGGGCTTCACCGACTGAGCCCCCCAGGCACCCCCCCAATCATGCTTAACTGCAAAACACTCTAAGAATTGTCCGTGGAAGGCAAAGATGCCCAGTTTAACATTATATTGGGAGGAGGGAAACATACAATTAATCAAGAGAAAGAAATAAAAGGCAGAAGTAGAGGAAAGAAGAGCCAAACCTACCTCTTACTATATCAGCAATTATGTAATTGCAGAGCTAGAAAAAACCAAGAGCATAATGACTACCATCTCGGCAACAGTGAGCACTGAACAGTGCTGACTGTTCCAAGGCCTATTCTACACACAGGACATGCCTTACTCCATTTAACTCCATACTGTGCTGGAATGATGGGGACCTTGTCCACTTTGGTCGCCACTGCAAGCCCAGGGCCGGGGAGAATGTCTGGCGCATAGCAGATGCTGGTTTGTCACTGTAACCCAAAGCCTAGCACAGTGTCAGCACAGGGCACAGTAGGTGCTCAATAAATACTTACTAAATGCAAAGCCAATCCAACAAGGGAGATGTTATTACATGTCTATTTCACAGATAAGAAATTAAGGCTCAGAAAGAGTAAATGACCAGGGATAACAAGCTAGAATCTGCATTTGTACCTAGATTTTCTGACTCAAAGCTTATGCTCTTATCCACTCCTCTGTATTTCTTCCCCCAAAAAACTATTAGAAATGATAAAGTGATTACAATATTAACACACAAACCCAATGCTTTTTAGGGGTATGAATATTAACCAGTCAGAATGTATAAGAAAGATCCCGTTTAAAACAGGGGTGCCAAAAAAATTAAAAACTTAAAAATTTAAAAATAAAACAGGGGCGCCTGGGTGGCTCAGTCATTAAGCGTCTGCCTTCGGCTCAGGTCACGATCCCGGGATCCCATGTCAGGTCCTGGGATGGAGACCCACATCGGGCTCCCTGCTCAGCAGGGAGCCTGCTTCTCCCTCTCCTACACCCCTGCTTGTGTTCCCTCTCTCGCTGTGTCTCTCTGTCTCTGTCAAATAAATAAGCAAAATCTTAAAAAAAGAAAAAGAAAAAAATTCAATAAAATAAAATAGTAACAAATGGGGGCACTTGGGTGGCTCAGTAGGTGAAGCGTCCACCTTCGGCTCAGGTCGTGATCTCAGGGTCCTGGGATCAAGCCCCACATCGGGCTCCCTGCACAGCAGGAGGCCTGCTTCTCCCTCTCCCACTCACCCTGTTTGTGTTCCCTCTCTCGCTGTCTCTCTCTGTCAAATTAATAAATAAAATCTTTAAAAAGAAAAGAAAAGAAAAAAAAGAAATCTATTAAGCTTTTGTGAAGAAAAATGAACTGAAGAATATAACAGAAAACGTGATTAGAAAAATGTACCCCTTTTTTTGAAAGACTCAGTAGTGTCAAGATGTCAGTTTTCCCTGAAATATAATTTTATATGATCCTATTAAATACCTACAGGATTTTTTTGAGACTTATTTTATTTTGGGGCGTCTGGGAGGCTCAGTGGGTTAAGCCTCTGCCCTCGGCTCAGGTCATGATCTCAGGGTCCTGGGATCGAGCCCCACACCTTCTCATCAAGCCCCACCTCGCATCTCCCTGCTTCCCCCTCTCTCTCTCTGCCTGCCTCTCTGCCTACTTGTGATCTCTGTCTGTCAAATAAATAAATAAAATCTTAAAAAAAAAAAGATTTATTTTATTTTGCTTTTTTTTTTTAGTAATGTCTACATCCAACATGGGGCTCAAACTCACAACCCTGAGTTCAAGAGTCACACGCTCTTCTGACTGAGCCACCCAGGTGGCCCATGGTTCCATTTTTAAAAAGGTATTTGTAGAACAGTAGGTAAGATGCATTTATTTGTTTACTTACTCAACAATTCTTGTTCTTTTTTTAAACCTTTTATATTTTTCAAATTCACACGCTTTTTTTTTTCAATTTCACTCACTGTGTATCTGCTCTAAGCGCTGGAGATAAAATAGTGAGCGAGTCCTTTCCTTCATTCTTGGTGACATGCAAGTGTGTACAGGAGTCAAGTTGTGATGGGTGTGTTGCAAAAGAAAATAAAGGGGGGAAAGGAATAGAGGACAAGGGCGGTGATCTTTGCATTCTAAGGAGAAGGAAGGCAAAGCTGAGGATTTGTCATTTGAGCAGAAATCGGAGTTCAGCGAGGAAGATGACTAGCCAGCGCCTCAGGAGTGAGCATTTTGGACCAGGAGGGCAAATCAGTGTAACTTTGCTGCATTTGAGTTTTGCTATAAAGGGGAGCAGAGATATAAGACAGCTGGAGGGAGTTACAGACCCAAGAGAGAGGGCTGGGTTTTTCTCTTTTTTTTAAGACGGGGGATAGGACAGTGTATTGGGAAACGGATCAGAACAATCCAGTGGAGAAGGAAAACTGATGATGCAAGACAGAGGAGGAGGAACTCTAAGAGTCCAGGTTTTAGTGGATGAGAAAGGACTGAGTCGGACAGCAGAGGAGGGACTGCCTGCCTGGGGGGAGACTGATGCCTCGGGGGACAAGCAGGCAGGCTCAACACTGCTCTTCATAGGCTCAGGGAGACAGTACATAGGAGTTTCCTGATTGCTCTTATTTTCTCTGAGAAAATTTCTCAGAGAGAGGGACAATGTGGACAGAGGGATTAGAGTTGGAGAGGAAATGTTGTGAAATTATCATCTGAAAGAGCTGGCGAATGGTGATGGCTGTGCCAAGGGGCCCTTCCAGTCTGTTACAGAAATAAAGAGAGACAAGTCAACACTGTGTATCAACTATACTCAATAAAATAAATAATAATAACAAAAATAATAAAGTGGGGGCGCCTGGGTGGCTCAGGGGGTTAAAGCCTCTGCCTTCGGCTCAGGTCATGATCCCAGAGTCCTGGGATCGAGCCCCGGCATCGGGCTCTCTGCTCGGCGGGGAGTCTGCTTCCTCCTCTCTCTCTGCCTGCCTCTCTGTCTACTTGTGATCTCTATCTGTCAAATAAATGAATAAAAATTTAAAAAAAAAATAATAAAGTGGGACAAGTCAACATGGCAGCACCTTTTCCTGCAGCCAGACTCCCCTACGCAAGTGCAGGGGCAGAACGGTCCACAGAGAAATTGATGAGGTTGTTTTTTCTTTGAGAATGGATATTTTTGCCTTATTTTGGATCTGGGAAAGAATGGTAGCTCTAACCCTCAAGTTAATGGAGGTGAAAGACTGGACTTAACCTGGGTTGGGATTCTGTCAACCGGCACAGGGGGAAAGGATCAAGGGAGCCGAGGGACTGACCGTAGAATGCAGCTGAGTGGGAAGAAAACAGAGGGCATGAGGGGATGACAGGGGAAAGGAGACCTGACAGGGTCAGGAGCCTGACAGTCCCCACAGAGCCGAGGAAACTGAGTGGAGGAACAGAACTGGAATGGCAGGAGGTGGTAGTCAGGGAGAAGGAGGCTTGAAACAGATTCTGGAGGTGGTACATTATTTTGGTAATGACAGGATCTGTAGCAAGAACAGAGGAGTGGATGCTCAGAACCGGGACGGAATCCTTGGAAGCTGGGGGTTGAGAAAGTTGAAAGGCTCCGGTGTGCAATGAATTCTGTGTGCCGACTGAGGACCCCAACAAAAGCATGATGAGAAACAGTAAAGCAGGAGCTGAACCCACAAGGGAGGCAAGAAGGGGGCAGGTTCCAAGGAGCTGTGCATCGCAGGTAGAAGAAGAAACAAAGATGTGGAAGCAGTGACAAAAAGCTAAGAGGTCACTTCCTGCATTTCCAGGCTCGGAGGAACTAGGATTTGAAGATAAAACCAGTCACTATGTGGCAAAGCTACAGGGACTATTGACCCTAGAGTCTCAAGTCTCCGGAGAGAAAAGGAAGGGAAAAGTCTGATAAGTCTAGGGATGTAGCAGATTTTGCAGATGACAGACTAAGTTTCCAAGACATGTTTGTGGTTTTTTTAAGAAATCCCTATCCAGGGACACCTGGGGGAGCTCAGTCTACTAAGCGTCTGCAGCTAGGGTCATGACCCCAGGGTCCTGGGATCGAGCCCCGCATCAGGCTCCCTGCTCGGCAGAGAGCCTGCTTCTCCCTCTCCCTCTATCTGCTGCTCCCCTTGCTTGTGCTCTTTCTCTCTCTGTGTCAAATAAATAAATAAAATCTTTTTTAAAAATCCATATCCACACACTTTCACATGCCTGCAAATTCTCAGAAATGGTATAAAAGAGACTGTTGACAGCCTGCTGTAATTAGGCAACTCAGAGGAGATGAACTCCATGCTCCTACTCAGCCCTACTCAGCCCAGCAGGTAGGAGAAGAGGGGTGACCTTATCAGGCACATTACTGAGGGGATTCCCAGAGGGGGTGAGAAGTAGTCAAAGATTCCTTCTTACAGCCCCCCCACCCTCACTGAGGTTCTATCACTCCATGAACTGGGCTATGTTTCCATCTGTGACAAACCCCTTCCTACAGCTGGGCCTCAGTTTCTATACATGTGAAGTGAGGAATTTGGACTGTGTTTTCTCTTGGCCTCCTTCTAGCACTGATGGTCTACAGCCCTCCTGGAACCCACCTCTGGCTCCCCTCCCGTTCTGGGGAGATGAGACCAGAGAGGCACAGAGCACACACGGGCTTCCAGCAGCACTGAGGGGAGCACAAAGCCCAGTAAGGCACTTGCACACCTACCAGTGCAGTGTCCCCAAGCTACACACACAGCCACCCACTCCCTTCTCCGCCACACACCTGGAGTCACATTATGTGCCCAGAAACATCACCTCCCAGCCACCGTGTCCCACAGCCACTGTCTTCCAAAATCTGAGTCCCAGAGACCCCTACCTACCTTGAGCAAGTGAGGCAACTGCTGAGTGGCCAGTTCCCTAAACTCATTGATGCTGAGACTGCCCTTCCGGCCCTCCTGCCCCGCGAAGGTGAAGAAGGTGGTGACCACCGTCTCAATGGCCGCCTCCAGCTCCGTCAGTGGCTCTGCTGCCATCAGGACTCTGTAGGGCAGGGGAGGAAAGGGAGAGTCAGAACAGAGCTGACGGCCCCTGCCTTGGCATTGTCCCCTCCCGCCCCTGCCTGGAAGCAGCATTGTGGGGAAGGAGACAGGGGACAGGGATGGAGCCTGAGGCAGGGGACCAGCGGGGGTGGGGGCAGGAGTGTCTGCTTCCAGAAAGCCCATCCTCTCTAGGTCTGAGCCTGGTGGTCCCCTCCAAGCGCCGGTGTCTCAGGAACCCCTTGATGGTGGCGGTCCTATGAGCCGGAGACCTCTCAGAGAGGAGGCACTTTGGAGCGGGCCCTTTGCGGCCTCCAGTCCCCAGGGCCCTTTCCTGGGGGCTCACCCGGCCCCCACGGGGTCACGAGGCGGCCGGGCTCCACCGCCTATTTGTGCGGGGCCCACGCGCTCCGGGGCCGCTGTTCCCGGCGGAGCAGCGCGGGGTCAGGCCGGCGGCCGGCTGCGGTCACGGTCAGGCCGCGGAGACCCCGCCCCGCGGGGGCAGCGGGCACAGCGCCCAGCCGGCTCCTCCGGCCCCCGGCCGCCGCTGCCCTCCACGGGGACGCCGCCTCCCGAGCCCCCAGACGAGGCGGCTCGCGCAGACGCCCCCGAGAGCCCCGGGACCGGAAGGCGCCGGGCCCCAGGGTGGGGGCACCGGACTCACCGCGGCAGGGGCGGCGGGCGGCGGGCGCAGGGGCCGCGGGGCCGCTGGAGCACAGCCCCCACCCAGCGCGGAGGCGTCGGGCCTGCGCCTGGATGCGGAGGGAGGAGACCGCCCAGACCCGCCTCCCGGCCGCCTCCCCCCACGCCCCAGCATCAGGGCGGGGTGCCCGGTCCCCCGCGCCGGCCCCCGCGCGCCGGTCTGCGGGGGGGAGGCGGGAAGGCGCGGGCCGCGGGGCCGCTCTGCGTCCTAGAGGCCCGAGAGGGAGGGGCGTTCAGCCTGAGAAGCACCACAGACGGCCCCTCCGAATGAGACCCTGATAAGGACCCTGCGGCCCAAGACCCCCAAGGGGCTCCCACACACCGAGGGGAACCCCGCTGAGGAGGAAGAGCCCCTGGACTCAAGTCTCTCAGCGGGGGCCAGACTAAAACCCCAAGATCTAAGGGTTCCCTGAGCGGTCCCCTCACTGGACCCTCCCGTTCCTGCCAGCGCTTCGGTGGGGGTGGGGGGAGGCCGCTCCGTGCCCTCCCAGGTCCCTCCCAGAACCTTTCTCACCCCCTCCTTCTTCCTGGGCCCTGCCTGCTGGGGCCCAGCAGGCAGTGGGAGGCAACTGAGGCTGGACAAGAGGACACAGGCTAGCCTGTTCTAGCCCAGGAGACAGAGGGCGCCTCTGTCCACTCCTGGCCCCTTGCCGCACTGGGTGTCTGTCTACGAAGGGGTGGAGCCGGTGGGGGGGTAGCGGGGGCAGGACCGCAGACAGGTCTCCCCACACAGCTCCCTTAGCCACATTTGCAGACTCGTCTGCCTGTCCAGAACCTGCTCCCACCTCAGGTCCAGGCTGACAGTGAGTATCCTGCGTCATCTGGGCTAGGTCTCTGCTGTGGCCAGCTTGGGGGAAAGGGAACTTCAGCGGGGCTCTGAAAGCCTGGGGACAATCGCACTGTGCTGGCCTGAGGGGCTGGGAGGAGTTCAAGTGCCAGCAGCTGAGGATTTGGGGGAGACAAGGTGTGGACAGTAGTGCAGGGAAGCCAACGAAGGTCGGACCTCTCGGAGGGAGGTCCATGGTATTCCTCCAAGAATGAAGAAGCCAGTGGGGAGCCCAGCCACCAAGCTCCCAGGACATGAGGGCCTCCTACCACAGAATGGCCTCCCAAAGCTCCCTCAATCTCCCGGGTGCTGGGGAAGGGAGCCAGCTCCCACCTTGCTCCCAATTGGGTAAGAATAAGAAAGCAAAGGGAACTATTGCTACTGTCCCCACCCCCACCGCCCAGCCTTGCCAAGGGCTCAGGTCCCCAGGAAGTCTGGGGGTGGCAGAGCATGGGCCATGTGAGATGAAGAGAAGGGGGCATTAGGGTACTATACCCACTCCCAACTCTCCTTTCACATGACCTTCCCTTTCTTCTCCTCCTTTCTTGGCCCAGACTTCCAGACTCCTCTCTCCTTCAAGTCTTTCCCTTTCTTTTCCTGTCCGCCCCTCCCTGCCAGAGTCCTCTCCAAGCCCCTACAGAAAATCCCAGGCTGCTCAACGGCTCCAGACAACTCCTGGATGGGGCCAGTAACTGAGCCACCAACAGCCCTCCCCCACAAACACCCTTATCCCCTCCATCAGTCCCGGCTTGGGTTCCATCTCCCCATGTCTCTGTGACAACTCCTTCTCTTGTCCAGAGTTCAGGTGACACTCACAAGGTTCCCATTGTAAAGAGGGAATGTCATCCGATCAGGGCCCATTGTTCAGCCCCCCAGGCCTGGGGAAGGACAAGGACACCTGATCTGAGACACCCGAGCTGTCCCCTGAGGCTGTGGAGGGGATAACCATCCCGAGGCCAAAAGAAAGAGGCCCGCTGGCTTGGCAGTCCCCTCGCCTCAGTACCCCCCCCCCCATTTTCCTCTTCTCTCCAGCCCCTTCAGAGGACATACTCAGCCTTTTCTCTCCCCCAGCATATATCAGACGGGTTCTCCCATTGCCATTGTCCTCACATCATCCAGGCTGCGCCTAGACAGGGGAGTGGGCCACGGGAGGGACAAGGCCCCAGAGGTCTCCTCTCCCCCTCGCTGGGAGCCCTGGCTCTGAGGAAGGGCTTGGTCATTCCTCTCTCCCTTCTTACCATCACCGGATGGAATGCCTGACACCGCAGAGAAGTAAGAGGTACCCCCCAGGGAAGCTGAAGTGACCTGTTCAGAGAGAGCAGAGTGGAGGACCCAAGGAGGCCCAGTCTGCTGACAGGAAGCCCAGAGGCAGGCCTCTCCCCCTCCCCATGAAGTCTGCGGCTCTGGCTGCCACTCTCTCCATCGGACTCCTTGCTGGAGGGAGACCACAGAATCAAGGCTGTAGAGGAGAACACGGCCCACCGCCCCCAGCCACAGAACTCAGCTGTGCTAAGAGGGCAAGGCAGGGTAAAAATAGAGCACGGCAGTGTCCTGTGACCGTCCCCGCCTGCCTGCCCCACCCTCCTTAGTGTCCACCCAAGCAGCCGGGAGCCACTGCAGAGTCCACTGCCGGCCCCTCGAGCCAGCCTGCTCCAGCTGCTCTACCTCCAGGGCCCCAGCCCCTGACTCCCTCTGCTGGGATGTGGAATGAGGCACGCAGAGAACAAGTCCGGATTTAGGCCTCCTTGGGTTCCCACATCATAAGGTCCCAGGGAGAGATAACTGCAGTGTGGCTCTGATCTCAAGGAGATTTCAGGGAAGGGACCAGGGCCAGGTCTGAGGGCTCTGCTCACCCCAACCCCAGATGCCCTGAGCTGGGTCCCCAACTTGCTTCCCTGCTGGGGGCGGGGTAGGTGAGCTGCGAGATGGGCTCTGAGCTGGAGACAGCGATGGAGACGCTCATCAATGTGTTCCACGCGCACTCGGGCAAGGAGGGAGACAAGTACAAGCTGAGCAAGAAGGAGCTGAAAGAGCTGCTGCAGACCGAGCTCTCGGGCTTCCTGGATGTGAGCGCGGTGTGGGGCGCAGGGTGGGACGGGCGGGACGGACGTGGGGGGCAGGGTGGACGGGCAAGGGCTGGAGGAACACCCGGGGCCCTCCCGTCCACCCACCCACCCCAGCCCAGTTCCGTCCAGTCTTCCTCTTCTCCCAGACTTCTGGTTCAAGACAAAATACCCTAATTGTTAATCACATATGAAGTGCTAGGACCTATGCAGATGCATCATTAAAGAGGCCTCACGGTCTAGAAGGGGAAGACTGACCCATGAAAGAGGCCCCAGTCTGCTGACCGGAAGCTCCCGGTGAAGCCTGGGGCCAGCCACTTAGGAACTACTCAGAGCTGTAACAGTTGCCAGAAAGAACTTTGGGACAATACTAACCCGGCTGAAGGGGGCTTCTCCAAGGAGCAGGCACTTGAGCCATGGGTTTCCATGGGAATATTATTAGGATAAATGTAGACATTTTAGGAGGTGTCTGCATGAACAAATGCCTGGCAGAAAGGACGGGAGCACGCTCAGTAGTTTTGACCAGAGTGAAGGATGCAGCAAAGCAGGTTGCAAATGCTGACAGGGGCCCTGTGGTGAAGAAGCCTGGAGAAAGCGCGCCAGCCTGAAGGTTCTATCCGGCCTGGGCTCCAGTTCTGACCCTCCCACCTTCCAGCTGTATGACTTGGGTGCATTATTCAACCACCAGCTGTTAATTTGGGAATAATGAACCCTACCTCATACTATTTGTGTTAGAATTAACAATTTTATAAGACAACCCCTGTAAAGCTTCTCTAAGCCCGCAAAATATGGTAACAAATGCTGGTAGTGCTCTGCTTTGTTAAGGGGTTTATTCTATAGGTAACAGGAGGCTGGGAATGTTAGTTTTAAGGAAGGACTCACAAAAGTCCCATAATTACATGTAGTTCTGCCTCTTGCTCTTCTCTGCCTCCTTCTTCCCAATCAGCCACCGCCCCCACCCCCGCCCCTGATTCAGTACTATGCATCTCCCTTTTCATCTCCTCCCTCCCAGGCCCAGAAAGATGCAGATGCCGTGGACAAGGTGATGAAAGAGCTAGACGAGAATGGAGACGGGGAGGTGGACTTCCAGGAGTACGTGGTGCTGGTGGCTGCCCTCACAGTGGCCTGTAACAACTTTTTCTGGGAGAACAGCTGAGCAGACAGCCCCAGTGGGCAGCGCCCTTCCCCTTCCCTGATTCCCCTGCACCCCACTTTTCCCTCCCTGCACTCCTACCCTTGTCCACACTCCACCAAGGGTGCAAGAGTAGAGGGCCAAGCCTGCGGCTCAACTTTCATTAAAGGCTCTTCTCTAGCCAGCTGCTGTGTGTCTCCTTTGGGGTCTGGGAGTGAGTGAGAAAGTCAAGGTTCCTCAATCCCAATTCACCTTATTTGGGAAGTGATCTTATTCGGAGAGAGGTCAAGGGGACATTACATCTTCTTAGTTGAATCCTCAAGGCCCAGGAAGGTAGGTGAGGTGTTCAAAGTTCCAGGTGCAAAGATAGAAGAATTTCCCTTCGGTCTGCCAAGAATACTTACTGAGGACTTACCATGTGCTAAAGACATTGTGTAGGAACTGGGGGTGTAACAGGGCACAGAACAAACACGACTCTTACTCTTACATGGGTAAAGTCCAGTAAGAATGCCAGACCATTAAACACACACAGAGAAAAGCTAGGAAGAAAACGAAAGGATCGTGATGTATGTATATGCAGAATGGCTGAAGATGTGTTCACTCACTCATCCCTCAAACATCGGGGTGTGTTTACTGTGTACCCAGGCGTAAGAAACATCCTGTGTAGGTCTGCATCAAAACGCACATGGCCGGCAGATGGGGAGTGCATGGAAGGGAGAGCAGGGACACAAAGACACCACCCCCCACACGGATTTAACAATATTCAGGACGAGAAAAACACGCAAAGGCATTGATACTAGTGACTGGCGTAGGGTCCGGCGCCCTGGCCTTGCCTGGGGCGCCTATGGGCATCTATGGCTCTGCACAGCTGGGAGAGCGCCCGCGTCCAGAACCCGGGCCCAGGGGCTCGGGAAGAGGCATCGAAGCAAATCCCACGTACCGAGCCGCAGATGGTCGTCCTCAGCCCCGGCGGGGCGCCGCGAGGAAAAACAAACCTCTTTCTGCCCCAAGATCAAAAGGGTTCTCAGCTGTCTTGGTTACAACCTCGCTGCGGGCCCAGAGCACCTGCTCGGGCGCTGAGCTCGCGCACTGGCCACGCCCCTCTTCCCCCACCTCTGTTAAGGCCCCGCCTCCTCCCCAGGCTCCGCCCCAACCCTCCGGGCAGGCGTAGGACTCCTCTTCTGCCCCTACCGCGCTGTGCGCGGATCTGACGTCTGACGTAATTGCGTCGACGCCATTTTAGCCGGTCCCACTAGGCTCTGGGCGTGGCGGCCATTTTGTTTTGGGCAGCGAGCGGGAGGAGTCGGAGGCGGCGGCAGTGGTGGCAGCGACGCAAGGCAGGAAAGGGCAGGCCGGGCGAGCAGGCGGACCGGCCGACCAGACAGCCGGCCGGCAGCAGCGAGCGAACCTAGCAGCCTAGCGCTTACACCTCTGACCAACCGCCCACCAAGTCAAGTCAGGTTCCGCCGGGCCCCGGCCCGCGCGCCGCAGCCGTGGTGGCAGCCCCGGGAGGCGCACTGGCGTCCGTTTCCTTCGGTGCGTTTCGGTGGCGCGGCGGGCCCGGGGGCGGAGCCGGCGGCGCGGGCGGGGGTGCGGGGTGTCCTCCCTCCGCCCGGGGCCGGCCGGCATCCCGCGGTGGTCGGGCCTCCCCGCGGGGACGGGGCTCACGGGTGCTGGGGCGGGCGCTGAGAGGAAGCCCGCGTCGGGCTTCGTCCGGCCCGGTGTGGGGCCGCCGTGTGGGGCCTGCGGCGTCGGAGCGGCCTGTGAGCGTGCGCCGCGAGACGCCGGCCGGGTGGGAGCTCCGGCGGCCCCCGCCGGCTGGGCCGGGTCGTGGACGCCTGCGGAGGCGGGGGGTCCTTGCGCTGACTGCGGCTTCTGCCTATTGTCCCCTGCAGATCCTCGGGATTTGAAGATGGCTGCCCAGTCGGCGCCGAAAGTCGTGCTAAAGAGCACCACCAAGATGTCTCTAAATGAGCGGTGAGGCAGCCAACAGCAGCTCAGCTCGTTCCTAAGAAAACATTCCTTAACTTGGCCCTGGGGTCCGGTGCACAAACACCAGTTTTAAGCTAAATACCAACAGAAGGCTACAGACCTCTGTTCTTAGGGGCCTCTTATGTGGTACACAGAGCGAATCGGGCGGTTGTTCCAAAACCCCTTGTCAGTAGATGTCTGTGTTAAGCTGTCTGAAGTACTTACCTGGTGGGATGTGTTTTGAGAGACTCCTCACCCCTCCCTCTTGTTCACGTTTTTTACATTGATACAGGGGTGCTGCAGCTCGGGGCATGGTCCCTTGGCTGCGGTAGGCTTGCTGCCCCGTCCGAGGCCAGCAGCTGTGTCTGGCCTGTAAGAGGCAGGCAGCAAGCCGTGGATATGTCCGAAGGCCCTTGAGTGCCGTTCTTGGGCCTTGTAAGAGGCACTTGCTTGGCTCCATTTCTCTTTCTTTCAGCTCTGCTTTTAGTTTGTCTCTGTGTTAAATTCTTTCGCAGCGAAGTGTCCTTCCTTTTTGTGCCATTGAACTTACTTGACAAAAATAACAGGAGTGTCTTCACAAGCTGTTAAGCGACTAAAATAATCGGATTTTCTCCAAAGTCATCGCTTGGCATTAGGAAGAGTAACCATTTGGAAAGTAAGAAAAGGTGCTTAGAAGCGGTTTCTGTTTCTGAGCACTCTTTGAGTGCCTTTGACCATGGGTTTTATTTAGTTGGTGTTAGACCACCGAAAGACGTGTGGATGTTTTTGCCTTTTCTGAAGCGTATGTGCTTCTTATCTTAGGGCATGAAGTACCGATTCTCCGTATTTGCATGTCGCTAAGCGAACGGATACAAAAGAAAATGAGACGCTCCTGTAATTCCTGTGGGTGGACTGTTGCATGGGCCGTGAGGCGCTCTAGTCCTTTTCTGTTTGCCCTTACAGTGCACCCTCAGGTTCCCACAAGGTTTTGGCTTTCTTTGTTTGTCTTTGAAACTACATTGTGTCTTTTGTTGTCATCATATCTGCTTATTGCGTGTTTTTCGTTCCTTCCATCTCTCTCAAAAGCCGTTACCTGAGCCCTTGTTGCCACTTTTGATTGAATGTGCTGCACTTAGCTGCATTTCTAAGTTTCTGATTCTTGCAAGTTTGTGGAAGCAGAGGAGTCTTAAACCCACTTCAGCCTTGATCTAAGTGTACCACTTAACTTAAAGTTCGTGGGATCTGGAGCTCCTGGTCTAGCAAGCCATGAAAATGCCAATAAATGTTTTGTAATAAAGCTTTTATTTAAACATCCATTCTGTTCGACCTTGAAGCTTTACTAATATGCTGAAGAACAAACAGCCGATGCCAGTGAATATTCGGGCTTCGATGCAGCAACAACAGCAGCTAGCCAGTGCCAGAAACAGAAGACTGGCCCAGCAGATGGAGAATAGACCCTCTGTCCAGGCAGCATTAAAACTTAAGCAGGTGAGAGGACGGGTCCTAATGCTCCAGAAGCAGCTGGTGATCTCTGTCAGGCAGTCCACTGAGGCTGTCAGGACGTGAAGGATGATTGCAAGTGGCTCAGGGCAAAAGCAGAAACTTCTCTGGAGGAAAGAGAAGTTCAGAGATTTCCCAGTTTGTCAGGTACCATTAAGTAACTTTTTGTTGTCTTTCTCTTTTAGGTAGTTTGCCATCAAGTGTGATCTGTTCTGTTATCAATGAGTATTCATCTCTTTTTATTTTCCTGATCCTTTGCCCTTAAAGTAGATTCACTGGATTTTACCACAGAGAAACTTTGGTTTCTCTTTTAGATGACCTTCAGATAAATCCTTTACTTATTCCATGTTAAATGACTTACAAATGAGGGAAATAATTTTGTTCTTTCTCCCCTAGCACAGGAAGTCTGAATAGCCTAAGGCAAAAGATTTCTAGTGCTAAAATACAGAAATAGTATTTTAGGGTGACCTTCATCTCCACAGCACCTGAGTTTTGTCAGAAAAATGGAGGGAGAGCATTGAATAATCAATGTAAGAATTGGTGGGTTTTCTTTCAAACTTCCAGTAAGAGATAATCCTTACTCAGATCTGAAATAAAACCTGCTCTTTATTATTCATAGACTTTATATGCAAGTCCGGACAATGGCTGTGGAAGGATATGTCCAAGCTGTGGCTGGGCGTCTGGAGGGCGATGCCATGCAACTGTAAGGACTTGAACTGGTCGCACTGCATGGCTGTGCATAAATTCAGCAGTTAAATATAACACCCTCCCACCCCACCCTGAACTGTTGGGCTCACTGACCAAAAATAAACAAGGCCTTCTGCTTCAGCTACCTTAAGCCTTGGAGTTCCTGTATTTGTCCCTGATTCAGGAAAGCAGTAAAAAGGTCTTGTTTTCCAAGACTAGCTATTATAAATTGCTAAAGATAAGTCTCTGACACATCATTCCAAAGGATTTTTCTAGAAGAAGCTTTAAATATAGGCTGGGCAGAAAGTAGCCTCTGGAGCAGAGCTATCTGATAGAACTTTCCACAGTGGAGGAAATACTGTATATCTGCTCTCCAGATACGGTAGCTACTAGCCAGGTGTGACTGTTGAGCACTCAGACTGTGGCGAGTATGATTGAGGAGCTTTTTAAATTTTATTGACTTGTAATTTAAATAGCCACATGTGGCTTGTGGCTACCTTAGCATACAGTACAGCTCTGGAATGAAAACTAGGTGGTATAATGACATCTTTAAGATTACCAACTCTTAGAGACTACGATTGACGGCCAGAAAGGGATAGGAAGGGAGAATTCTAAGCACCATGCATTATCTGCGGAGGCACGGATTTTGGGACAATATACATACTCAGGATCATGGAACAGAAGGGATTTGTAGAATGATGTCCTGACCTAATCGTGCGCTGTCAGGGGAGTGATGGCAACAGACTCTTAAGGTTGGTTATGCTTGGGTGCATAATGTTCAGCGTCTGTCCCTCTGATTAGAAGCAGTTTATTAGCTTATGCTAGAAAGCTAATAATAATAATTCACAGCTTGTGGTTGGGGAAAAAAAAAGTCATTGGTAAGTCATTTACGGATCAAGCCCGAGGATACACAATTTATTTTCACTCGCCCTGACTGATGGCTTTATAGGAAAACGGGTTTGCTGGAGCCTCGATTGTGTTCAAGGCTACACAGTCACCTTTTCCTTTGAAGGAATTTAATTCACCGAGATATGGTCTCTTTGAGGGACAGATTATTGAAAATCTCCATTAGTGGTGTGTCCTTGTTCTCAAATATGGCTCTGAGTTTTGCGAGTATAGGTTACCTGTCTTAATTCTAATGCAAGGTAGCTTTCTCTCTGGAGAACATATGAGTATTTTGAATTAAAGTTTACAGTACTGGCTTACTGGAGCTGTTTGCAAGGGAAGACATGGAATTAATAGTGATTTAAGAAATGTAAGGAAAGGAGGTTTGACTTTCTTGTGTTTACATCTTAAGGTAAAAAGTGGACCGTCTGGAGATAGATACTCAGAGGAAAAATGGAACACACTGGCCTCTTTGACTGAAAAATCTTGTTTTTAAATGACAAGAATTCAAATGAACTTATAATTTAAAATATTTCCCAGAGTGTGATGAACTTCCTATGGTGTTTGAGTAAGCCTTTGAAGACAGTGGTAGTCCTTGGGCAAGTATGAATCAAGTCGTATCGTTGTCAACCTGTGGTACAAAAACAGCAGAATCCAGGATTGGAAATGTGGAGTCCTTACTAAAACTTAAGTTCCAAGGAGTGGTGTATGGCTTCTGCCAAACTAGTGAGGTAATTTGTGTTGGTGCCAATGTCACGGGACCATAATTGAGCTTTCGTAAAGGCTCTGGATCAGAATTCTTCCCTTATATGATGTCCTGAGGCAAAGGCTAGTTTCTCATTAAGGGTCCTTGTGACATCTACGGCAGGTTAATCTCCCTCCACACAGCCATCCTACTTGCTTTTTCTCTGCACTTTGGGTTGCTGAATCCTACTGGAATGCTTTTTTGATCTCAATCCCCCAACACCTTTTCTTCCAGAAGAGCTTAAAGCAGCGCCTGGGTAAGAGTAACATCCAGGCACGGTTAGGCCGACCCATAGGGACCCTGGCCAGGGGAGCAATCGGAGGACGAGGCCTACCCATAATCCAGAGAGGCTTACCCCGAGGAGGACTACGTGGGGGACGTGCCACCAGAACCCTGCTTAGGGGCGGGATGTCGCTCCGAGGTCAGTGCTGTGTACCTGATAATTACCGGGCCTACCCCTCCCTTTTCTCTTGGGCTGCTATGGACACATTTGTTTTAACATCTTGAAGCCTGAATTTGTATTAATATAATTAATAACTTTTGAAATCACATATTTTTAATAGTGCTGCATGTCTTTTCTCGATACCATTCCCTTTCTGATAATGTGCAATGGTGAGAGGCTATGACCTGCGTAACGACAGGTAATTCATGTCATCTCCATTCCGTCTAAACACCCTGCTGCTGCTTGAATCAAAGCACATGCAAGTTCTAGAAATAAGTCAGATCTAAGAAATACTGGCTCCCTTGGCCTGTATCTTAACTAACCATCTCTGTGCTAGTGAAACACACTGTTAAATTTGGAAGAGAGAGGACAGATTGACCCATAGCTACGTGTTACATTTTGGACACTGTTCAACTGTTCCTGTGGTGTTCTTGTCCCTTGTAAGAATGTATTGAGAGCAGGAATCATATTTATTTTTAAATCTATCGTAATGCTAGGCACTTACTGATTATTCAGTAGATATTTACGGTGTGTACTTACTAATTAACTCCCAGCTTCTTTCAAAAATGGATTTGTGGTCAGACTTGTTGAATTGATAGAATAAAGAGCAGTTTGATCTGTTCGCACTCGGCGTACAGCTTGCCCCACCCAACCCTAAAAATTAACTGAATTAACTCTCATTGAACCCTCACCGCCTTCCTTTGGTTAGAGTCTGCTTTGTCTCTCTTGGATTTACCTGCATATACATTGTATGCCTCCTCTCCAAGGTCAAAACCTGCTCCGAGGTGGACGAGCCGTAGCTCCCCGAATGGGCTTAAGAAGAGGTGGTGTTCGAGGTCGTGGAGGTCCTGGGAGAGGGGGCCTAGGGCGTGGAGCTATGGGTCGTGGCGGAATCGGTGGTAGAGGTTAGTCAGCTACCAACTTCAGAGAATAGCTCCCCCTTACTTCTCTCCCTTCAAAACTCAGAGCCGCCTTTTCTGCATAGCTTCAAGTCATAGGCAGGCTTGTTTGTTTGTCTTGTTTCGTTTTTTGAAACTGGCCTGTTTTCTAAATCCACATGCTGGTAGTGCGAAAAGTCTGTCGTGGGTTGTCTAAGAGCCAGTCAGGGACACGTCAGAGCCAGATTCTTTTCCGGGTTCTTGTAATTTAAATCGTATTGTTAAAATGACAGGATGGTCAGTTTGAGGTTTTACTTTCCTGTGTCCCTTCCCCCCCACCACACACCCCGTCCTTCTCTCAAAACCCCATTTTGAGTCTAAAAATAAAGAAGAAGGAGATGTGTAGAAATGAAGCTGAGTTAAAAAGGATGATGAGATTGGAGCTGGATATTGACTTTGAAGCCAAGTTAAAGTCAAGGTAAAGTTTGCACCTACAGGAAATCAGAGATGACTTTTTTTTTTTTTTTTTAAGGATTTTATTTATTTGACAGACCGCAAGAGAGGAAACACAAGTAGGGGGAGCCGGAGAGAGACACGCAGGCTCCCCACTGAGCGGAGAGCCTGATGTGGGGCTCTGTCCCAGCACCCTGAGCCATCCAGGCGCCCTTCTTTTTTTTTTTTTTTAAATCAAGGTGGAAAGCAAGAAGATACCATGTCAGTTAACTGACTGACTCTTGTTGATAATGTTACCTTTGAGGCTTAGTGATACTTGTCTTGTGACCTCATGACCCAGATGGAAAAGAATTTCATGGTGTTGCTATCATTAATCCAAATCTCATGGGGGTTTTTCTGATTTTTAGAGCTTACTGGAAAACTCTCAGCAACACCTGTGCAGGGGGGAAGAAAATCTGTTGCTGTAGCCCCTGTGTATATCTGCTTTGGTCCTTTTATATTGTGTGGTGGGGTCTTCCATAATTTATGACCTTGAAGTTGCCAAAGGATAATAACTGTTAAGAAAGGAAATTTAATAGCCAAGGACTTGTTTTCTTCTCTCCCATTACTCATTGTTGGCTTATAGAATAAAGAACAAGCTAGTTTGGGTTTCAGGATGAAATAGCACATTTCCAAATTATGTTGACCTCATTTCTGAGAGCACATCACAGGGCTGAGGGAGTCTAAAGTAGCTTTTCAGAAAGCTGCGTATGTTTTCTTAAGTGCATTAAAACTACCTCTCAGATAACCATAATTATAAGGTGGCTGGAATCTGAGATAGAATTGGCTGGGGCTCTAAATACATTGCCCGTCTTCTCACTTTGTTCCTATATCACAATAACTCCTCAGTCTCCTGACATGGGATCAGCTCATTAGGTTTAATAAGTTTGAGGAAAGATGAGCTAATTTTCCAGAAAGATCTTCAATAAGGCTAAGTTTAAAAACTGTCCAGCCCTACACCCCTGTTTCTCTGTGCCCTCATTACTTCCTGTCTTACTAAGTGGGGTGACCTATAATGTATTTTAATTACGAACTTACATGGGTCTCAAACTTGAGATAATTTCTTTTTTTTTTTTAGGAGAGGTTGAGGTTCTTTAGTCAGTTATTTTCTCTTTGTCAACAGAATAAAGTCTTTAAATAGCATTTAGAGATGAGCATGTACACAGGGATTCATTATGTGTGCTTTCCGTGTGTTGCTTTCTACCCAGTGTGTTTCCTGTTTTTCCAGATTTCTCTTTGCCCTGCCCTTTCAGCCTTTCTCAGCTAGGCCCCGCTGCTCTGAGGGGCATTTGCCATAACACCCATTAAACCTACTTGTAACTGTTTCCTTTTTTTCCCCTTGGGCCAGGTCGGGGGATGATAGGTCGGGGCAGAGGGGGCTTTGGAGGTCGAGGCCGAGGCCGTGGACGAGGGAGAGGTGCCCTCACTCGCCCTGTACTGACCAAGGAGCAGCTGGACAACCAGTTGGATGCATACATGTCGAAAACAAAAGGACACCTGGATGCCGAGTTGGATGCCTACATGGCACAGACAGATCCAGAAACTAATGACTGAAACCTGCCCGCCCTCCTGTGAGAGACTCTTGTTCCAAAGTCACCACATCTGTAAATACCCTTGAGATAACAGATGGAGAAGAAACCTGAATGACGCCTGGAAGGACCTATCACGATAGGCCACGGACTTAACTTGCCACCAGTTTGTGCATTTAGTGTGTTCCTTTTACTTTTTTGATACTGTGTTGTATGAAACCCTTTTTTCCTCTGACGTGGGTTTTGTTTTGTTGTGTTTGGAATTTTCCCCCCCATCACTCTGACTTCTCTTTGAACATGAATGTGGCGGACTCGTGGCTAGAACACCCTCTTCTCGTCTCTGTGTCCACGTGAAAAAGCCCCAGAAAGAGCCCATCAGTGTTCCTTCCTGATGCTTAGGTTCCTTCCTGATGCCTAGGTTCTGTTCTACATGACCTTTAATATAAAGCCTCTTAGAAGTGTTTAGAAAATGTGCAGCTCAGAAATGAATTCTGCCACACTGCTACATCAGTGTAGTAAGTGAGGGACACTGACATAGCCACAGGGCCACATAACAGGTTACACTTGGTAACACCTGATTTGATTAAAGTCACTTCTGTGTACATTGACACCACATGACAAGTGTGCTGGGCTGCTGGGTGTGTGCACTTCCTACCCTGAAATGAGGCCTGTAAACTTTGCTCTTGGCTTTGTATTGTGTCCTAAGCTACTGTTAGGATGGCTTACGCCTGCAATAGAGAGGAAATGGCCATTTGGTTTGGCAGATGCCTCGGAGAAAGGGATAGAATGATGACAGATGCCTTCTAGGAGTCCAAAGATGTCGTGCTGGAATGCTATTGTCCTTGTGTTCATCCCAAACCCGGGCTTCTCCATTCATTGGCTTTGTTTGGCCCTCTTTTTCCCTTTGAAGTTACAAGTTCAACCATATTCTGTCAACTGTTCAGTTTTCAGTGGAATCTTGTATTTCTGGTTCATCATAACAAGAAATTGTTCTCAAATCTAGTCAGGACTTCTTTTTTGGTTGGGCTCCTTGAAATGCTCTGGTCACTATGACAGTATCATGACCTACCTCTTGTGGAATTCAGAGTCCTTAAATTCATAGGTATATTAAAATCAAGGGGTGGTGCAGGTAGTGTTAGGACCTTGAGCCAGGAAGCAAAGAATTTGTCCTCTGAGTAACTCTGGCAGAAAGGTGATTAACCCCATAAAAGAATGTTCTGGCCTGTTTGGGCCATAGGAAGCTCCAGCGTAATGATCTTTGGCACTATTCTGGACCTTGGCACCAGTGGGTCTTCTCCCCTGTTCTGTGGGAAAGAAGCTAACCACCAACCAAACCAGTTTCCAGTGAGATACATGGTTCCCTAAACTGTTGGGAGGTGTGTGTGGCACGCTGAGAAGGAAATTTTGGTCAAGACAGCCTGGACCGGAGTCCTATCTGTATGACTTGGGCTTCTTAGCCTCTGGACTGTGAGGCAAGTGGTTTAGTCCTATGGAAGAGAGAGATTGAGAAGACCAGGTAGTGGTAGAGACAGAACCATACTTAGAAAATTGACTTGATCTGGTTTCCAAGTGTGTTCCACGCATTTCTGTTTATTAAAAATGGACTATGAGGCTTGAGGTCTTCAGGTCAGACGGCTGTTAATACATAATTGGAAGGGGTGGAAAGTGTTTATTTGGGCAAGGCAAGTTGTGAGGATAGTCCCTTAGGTAGACCCAGACTCTGGTCCACCCCCAAGACTTATGAGGGAGGTGCTGCTCGGCAGTGGACGGGGTGCCATTTGCAAACAATATCCACTGGTTACATCCGGCACTTCCAGGACACCTTTGGGAAGGAAGGAGAACTGCGGGTTGAGTAGGTCCCTTACCCTCTTGACACAACTTTGGGTGGCCCATCTCTTGGGGTTATTACACAGTCCTCGTAGGTAGGCGCATGCCCGCAAATAGGAAAATTTATTTTAGAGCGAGCAGAAGGCAGGGGGAGGAGAATCCAAGCAGACCCCTCTGATCACAGAGTACCAGACTCCATTCCAGGACCTGAGCTGAAACAGACGCTTAAACTGAGCCACCCAAGTTCCCTGATCTGGTGGCTTTGAACGACTTATCACCCCCACCTGCCTTCAGTGCACTGAGATCCTCTAAGAAAAAGATTCATAGAAGGCTTTGAGGCATATGTGAGGAAAAGGGAACATGGTGAAGGGGAGGGGTCGCAGTGCCCCACACACCTTTCTGCCCATGTTCCCCCTTCTCTTACTTGCAGATAGCCCCACATTTGACTGTCAGGGTGAAAGCAAAATGTTGAGGGAGTTGGGAAATGGGAGAGCAGGACACTGGAATGGGGGCACTGGGCCTCCCCGCACTGCCTTCCAATTCATTGATGGAATTCACTTGGGAGGTTCATTTCAGGGCAGTCCTGAATGTTTCCATCCCCTGAACCCGAGAAGAGAAGGGTGAGGGGGGCTCTGCTGAGTGTGGTTTAGTTGCTCCCTCATAGGTCAGCCTCTTCTATCCCAGACTGCCCCTTCCCAGGGTGCTTCCAGCCCCAGCATCCTGCTGACTCCAGGCTCCTCTTGCCCACAGGTGACCGTTGGGAGGACTTGCCCCATGTCCTCTACACCCATCTCTTGCCGTGGAGTGAGCTAAGACCAAGTTGGGGCTGCCGTTTCCAGCATCTGCGTGAACCCTCACTGTGCACCCTGAGGTGGGCGGGGCAGGGGGAGGGGAGCTCCCGTATATCCATCCTGCCTCCCGAAGAAGTTCATTCCCAGTATTGGGCACAAGGAGCTCCAAGCCAACCTCAGGCCCTCCAGGCCCTCCTGCTGCTCACAGCCGTTCTCAGCATCTCCTGAGCCCTATGCCCATCCTATGCCCGATTCTTCCACCTTCACTCCCAGCTGAGTGTCCAGAGTAGAGAGGGGCATGGAGGTTGACCCCTGTTCCCGGGTCAGCCTTTCACTCAACCACCATCTGCCAAGGGCCTGCCATGCAG